GCGAGTATTTAGCCCACAGACACAGCCCACTGAGTTTCTCGCTGGATTTTCTCAGTGGGTCGCGTGTCCAATCCGGTGGTAGATTTTGCGAAGCACTGCTCTTGTTGGGGCCAGTGTTAGCAACACCTCTTTGCTTGAGCCCCGAGAGCTCACCTACATGCTAGGGTAACGCTGATATAGCCTCTTAAGGATATCAGCATAGGTAAGAAAAAAGTTACTTATGTACGTATGTATACGTATCTATGTGGTCAGGCTTTGATTTGTGTGTATACTACTGAAAATTTACACAATACGTACCCAGACTTAGCCGTCTGACCTCTAAAGCGCCGTTCATGATAGCCTCCCGGGGTCACCATTTTATCATTTATTTGAATATTTTTTTTACATTTCAATGACACACTACAAAGGCAAACTGCCAGTATCTACTACTAAGTATGCAATTGTATTCAATTAGTACAATGAAGCGATGCGTTTTAGCTTAAAGGGGACATTTTATAGTACAATTGAAATCGATTTAGAGATAATTGTAAACCTAAAAGGCTCAAAAAATATCTCATCCAATATTGTTAGTAAAAAAATTAACTTAGATGAGTTTTGAAGTTTTGAGTCTGCTTGTAGTATTGTCCGCGGGAAACCTCTTTTCCGCCCGGGTTCTGTCTGACCTTGGGCGAAGATCAAACGCCGGGCGAGAGAGTGCAAGGAAAATCGGACGAGTTTTGATGTATATAAATAAGGAAATCTTCAAAATTTTTCCGATTCTCTATTATATTTTACGATTACGATTTATTATTTTATAAATAACAAGCCAATTTGGAAGGCAGAAACTTTTTATTTATCTATATTTATGTAGCTAAAGCGTATTTTAAAGATGGGAATGACGGAAATTATAAATTTACGTAATTACTGGATTGCGCTAACGTTTTATCTGTTTTTAAACCGAAACTTCTATGCATTATGTCAAATGACTTTTACTGTTTCTTGTTTTGGATTTTTCTTTTACTTAAAATCCGTTTTTGGGTTCTATGAACTGTTCCTCGCAATCGAAGGGTTCGAAGAGAATAGTGACCGGTGTTTGTGGTACCTAAAAGCACCGTTAATAGATCGGGAGTATCTGAAATGACGTGTTCATTTTCAGGAAGTCGACCCATAAACCCAAGGGTAAAAAGTCTTTACTACTCCGCGAAAATATGATACACAGCCACACGCTAAACACGTGTGTAACCCAAATAAAACATATCGACGCTTGAAAGGCAAACGTGACTAAGCGACAATGCGTGAACTTTACAGTAGACTAATTTAAAGTTGAAATTAATTTAAAATATACTTGAGAAATACCTGAAAAAAATTCTATGTTAACGAATCTAGCTGTAGGATTGAAATTATTTTAATAGACCTAGAAATATATTTGTTTTTGCGCATCGAATATGGTTATTGCCTATCATTTATGTACAAAGCAGTTATTGTCGCTTAGTCACGTTTGCCTTTCAAGCGTCGAAATATACTTTTTTTTTTTATTGCTTATATGGGTGGACGAGCTCACAGCCCACCTGGTGTTAAGTGGTTACTGGAGCCCATAGACATCCACAACGTAAATGCGCCACCCATCTTGAGATATAAGTTCTAAGATCTCAGTATAGTTACAACGGCTGCCCTACCCTTTAAACCGAAACGCATTACTGCTTCACGGCAGAAATAGGCAGGGCGGTGGTACCTACCCGCGCGGACTCACAAGAGGTCCTACCACCAGTAAATACTCTAATAAATGGTCTCCTCACTTTTTGAACATGGTTAAAACAATAATACAGACTACTAAATTACGTATCCTAATCAATTATAATTAGTATTACATATTAGTATGACGTTAAAACAATACTAATTAGTCGTTCGAATTAAAACGCGGTATTGTCGTCACTCCAATTATAAATAATTTTCGGACACACACACACACAAACACACATCGGTACTTGTGTTAATTTAAATACAGCGCTAGGTTCTGTAAGGTCAACACATTTATCGTTTCACGGATATGTATGTACGTAGGAATGAAGCTGTGGCATGATATACTGTAGATCAACAAATAGATGAAAGACTTCCATTTGTTGAAAACAATGAAAGCTATGGAGCTAATGTTTTTTTTTTCTTTTTTATTGTTTAGATCTGTGGGCGAGCTCACAGCCCACCTGGTGTTCAGTGGTTACTGGAGCCCATGGATATCTACAGCGTAAATGCCGCCACCCACTTTGAGATAAGTTCTAAGGTCTCAGTATAGTTACAACGGCTGCCCCACCCTTCGAACCGAAACGTATTATTGCTTCACGGCAGAAATAGGCAGGGTGGTGGTACCTACCCGCGCGTACTCACAAGAGGTCCTACCACCAGTAGATTGGGCTCCCCTCCACGGTGTTTCCCGAGCGCTATGACATGCCCTTCTTCCAACGAGGCTTTTGGAGAGTACTTAACGGCGGGCAGCGGCTTGGCTCTGCCCCTGGCATTGCTGAAGTCCATGGACAACAGTAACCACTCACCATCAGGTGGACATTACATTTTTCTGCCTCCTAGGCCAATAAAAAAAATTGGGTCCTGTAGCGCTTGGAGTCTTCAGACAGTCGAGTGGCATCTTATCAAGGGTCTTAACAAATCTATCTCGAGTCTTAGTTCATCTAAAGAGGAGATTACTACATTTATTGCTATTGTAACAGGCAGCCCTATATATAGGGTTTGTACAGATGCAGATAAATTTATGTCTTCCTGGAGTTTGATGGAGTCGCAAACTACCAGATAATGCCATGGAAGTCCTCGTGGCTTAAAAGATAAGACGCCCGGTGCATTCGTATCCAACGAATCGATGTACCGGTGTTCGAATCCCGCAGGCGGGTACCAATTTGTCCTAAAGAAATACGTACTTTTTTTTTTGATGCCCATGTAGGCAGACGAGCATACGGCCCACCTGATGGTGAGTGGTTACCGTCGCCCATGAACTTCAGCAATGCCAGGGGCAGAGCCAAGCCGCTGCCTACCTACTTAACAAATGTTCACAATTTCCTTCCATGACGAAAGAATAATGTAGCGTGATAAAAATCAAACCCGCAAAAAACATGAGTTGCGAAATTACTGGTGGTAGGAGGTTTTGTGAGTCCGCATAGGTAGGTATCACCTCCCTGCCTGTTTTTGCCGTGAAGCAGCAATGCCTTTCAGTTTGAAGGGTAAGGCAGCTAACTGGCATTAACATAGTCCATGTTTATGGACACCGGTAACCTTTTAAAAGCAGATCGATTGATTCGCATATTAACAAAGAAACTCTGAACTCGCTAAATGATTCCATGACGTGGCAATCGGTAAGATAGTAGATACATATTGTAGAATACATTAATGGCCTCGTCACGTCGCCGGCAGAATGTCTTGTGTATGAAGGCGTCTTAGGATTTCATTATCAATCTAAAGTAATCTATGGAATAATTCACGTGAAAAAAAAGAAAAAAACATTTATTTGTACGCATTACGTTAGCTCGCGTAACACCCATGAGTCTACAACGCGCGTACGAAAATAAGAAAGAGATCTCAATGTCGTTACCGTCTTAGTCATACAGCGGAAAAGTATGCTAGATAAAATAGATTCATATGACGCGCGTCCGTCTGTCTTCGTGTCTACGTTCGAATGAGCGTAGTTTGAAATCGGAGAGCTTATTTTTTTTTCTTCTTTTTTTTTTCTTTTTTTTTTTATTACGGGAACAACTATGCGTAGTATTATATAATTATTGGACTTCCATAATAAAATCAATAGGTCAGTGTTATATTCGAATAATGGTCAGTAAAATGGTTGATTTTGTTGTCTTGTTTAAATGTATCGAATACCTATATGTTAAAAACGTCAATTGGTTTAAATAAGCATTGTTTGTATTCACAATTTCGAAATGGACTCCCTGGTTTTTGTATAATCGTAACATTTAATTATTTTAATTAGAGCACTAATTTTGATTATTTTGTATTACCAAGAACGAACTACATATATACTGTTGATTTTTTTTTGTATTTATTTATATGGACCTGACATAAAAATAATTTGTTTACATTTACGGTCTATTTTATTCACGTGCTCACAGCCCACGTGGAGTTTAATGATTAATGTAGCCCATGGACATCAAAACGTGAATGTAGTCTCGTGGATTGAGGTCGAAATTCTAATTGTATTTTATAACGGCTGTTCAACTCTTGGAACTGGAACGTGGCACTGCTTCGCCGCAGAAATAGGCTGGACAGTGGTACCGATCCGTGCGGGCTTATAATACACGTTACCATCCGTCATATAAAACATCACGAAAATACAATAATCATTATTCATTTTATTGTAAAGAATTTTTTGTCTTAATGTAATAATATTGAGATATTATTTAATATTTAAATGTATGTAAACATTTTGCAACACAATAACATTATTTAATTTTAAAATTCCAATGAAATTTTATGATACAAAGAAATATATAGTTATTTAAAATTGAAATAAAACTTATTTTGTTTGTTGTAATTTTAAAGTTTTTTTTGGCTATCGTTAAAGGGATTATATCAACTTTAAAAATGTTTCATCATCTCAGCTTATGTCTATTGTTGAACATAGCCCTCTCCAATTGATTTAAATATTTAAGTCACAGAAATGTTCAGAAAGATACATACTATTAACAAAAAAAAGTCTTTATACTTTTTTTTCTAAAAAGTGTAAAATAAATAGGTTATAATCGAACGTGTTAGACTTTATAAAGCTACGCAAGAAGATGACAAACAAAAACGGGTAATAAACTAATAAAATTCAATTCTGTTGTTAAATGGATAAATAAAAAAAATTAATATGATAATGTTCGCGAAAATTCGGAATTTGCGTATCCACGCTTTCCAGAGGCACCTATGATTCCAGACGGGTCACGGTGGATGGCGAAGTGGGTTCGGCTAGTAACAAAGTCGACGACATAACGGTCATTGATCCATTTGTATTAAAAAAAAAAACTCACCAATAATAGCCATTAATACTTGAAAGTGCTTGCTTCCATATTTCTCTTCGTTTTCAGAGCCTACGTTATATATTTTGTTAGCCATTTTAAATATTAAAAGAAAAATATTTAAAAAAAAAACACAGACGATATCACAGCACAGATTATAAATAAACGTGAAATTCACAAGAAGGCGCGAGTTATTTTTTTTTAAGAGTGCCAAAGTAAAAAAAAAAGTTTCTAATTTTGAAATTGTGAATCGTTCGAAATACGAAACCGCACTTCCCGCCTCGACTCGCGTGATGGCGCGTGGCGTCCGCGCAATGTAATCTCGACTCATAAACTGTGTGCTTTTATATGAACGCCATTTTCAGGGGGTTGAATTTTAGAAGAGTGTATGCGCCACTCAATGGTTTTATTGAGTTTTTTTTTGACATACATAGATTAGATTTTTTGACGTTTTGATCTATATCAAATTATTTCTTGTCATGACTTTTCTAAGCGTTTTATTTATCTTAGCTATCGATAGAATCACAAGTACGAAGAAATTTACATTAGGGACATTTTTTTTTTGTCATTATGTTTTTATATGATTAATATATTATTTAAAGTATTTATAAAATTCGTTAAAGTATGTATTTTTAACAATAGTTTTAACAATAATTAAGAAAAAAAATTGCATTCTGCACTCTTTCTCTATAATCTCTATAATTGTGGGAAATTTCATATTCCTCCGTCCGCGCAATTTTCGTAAAAAGGGGTACAAAGTTTTTGCTTCACGTATTAATATATAGATAATTGAAAACAAAAGCCGACTCCAATAGACTTGGACTGGTGGTAGGACCCCTTGTGAGTCCGCACGGGTAGGTACCACCGCCCCGCCTATTTCTGCCGTGAAGCAGTAATGCGTTTCGGTTTGAAGGGTGGGGCAGCTGTTGTAACTATACTGAGACTTTAGAACTCATATTTCAAGGTGGGTGGCGGCATTTACGTTGTAGATGTCTATAGGCTCTGGTAACCACTTAACAACAGGTGGGCTGTGAGCTCGTCCACCCATATAGGCAATAAAAAATTAAAAAAATGCTTTAACTGTTAAGAAATGAGAAGAAATGAGTTTGTTTCCATTGTTTGCGACTGGCAAGGTGAGCAATTACACGTCATATCAATATACCGTCCACCAAGATACAATAATCAGAATAAAATCCAAGAATTTTTAACCTACTTTGAAAAACTTTTACAGTCATTATCTACTAGTGACAAAGTAATAATATGTGGGGATACAAACATAAATTTATTAAAAGATACAGAGAAATACGTAAAATGCTATGAAGATTTATTAGCCGAACATGGTTTTACAAAATGTATTAAAGACGTGACGAGAAGGGAAATTTTAGTGGGTAATGTAGTCGAATCATGTTTAGATCATATATTTATTAAATCATCCTCAGCATTAATCGATTCTGCAGTAATAAAACATAAAATATCAGATCATTATTTGGTCGCGGCATCTGTACGATGGAAACAGACCCCGAATGTAGCTCACTCGTGCGAGGTGTGTGAATCACGCGCTGCGCCCCCCATTACCACGGCCCAGTGCCGCCGCCATGTGCTTGATAATAGATTAGTCAGAGAAAAATTATTAGAAACTAACTTCAATCATCTCTTAAATATTGATTGCCCATTTTACTGGTGGTAGGACCTCTTGTGAGTCCGCACGGGTAGGTAGGCGCCAGGTCATAAAGCTCGGTCTACGCAGTCTTGGTTGGAAACGAACGTTTCGGACTTCATCAGAGCTGAAGACTGGCCGTCGTCTAGTCCCGATCTTAATCCGCTGGATTATGATTTATGGTCAGTTTTAGAGAGTACGGCTTGCTCTAAGCGCCATGATAATTTGGAGTCCCTAAAACAATCCATACGATTGGCAGTGAAATTTTTTCCCAAGGAAAGAGTGCGTGCTTCTATTGATAACTGGCCTCAACGTTTAAAGGACTGTATTGCAGCCAATGGACTGACCACTTCGATCACTTCGAATAAGCTTTTTATACTTTAAATTGTTTTAAGGAGATGTATGGAAATGGTAGTGCAAGGTAGAGGGGGAAGAGGTCGACCGAAGAAGACATGGATGGAATGTGTGAATCACGCGCTGCGCCCCCCATTACCACGGCCCAGTGCCGCCGCCATGTGCTTGATAATAGATTAGTCAGAGAAAAATTATTAGAAACTAACTTCAATCATCTCTTAAATATTGATTGCCCATTTTACTGGTGGTAGGACCTCTTGTGAGTCCGCACGGGTAGGTAGGCGCCAGGTCATAAAGCTCGGTCTACGCAGTCTTGGTTGGAAACGAACGTTTCGGACTTCATCAGAGCTGAAGACTGGCCGTCGTCTAGTCCCGATCTTAATCCGCTGGATTATGATTTATGGTCAGTTTTAGAGAGTACGGCTTGCTCTAAGCGCCATGATAATTTGGAGTCCCTAAAACAATCCGTACGATTGGCAGTGAAATTTTTTCCCAAGGAAAGAGTGCGTGCTTCTATTGATAACTGGCCTCAACGTTTAAAGGACTGTATTGCAGCCAATGGACTGACCACTTCGATCACTTCGAATAAGCTTTTTATACTTTAAATTGTTTTAAGGAGATGTATGGAAATGGTAGTGCAAGGTAGAGGGGGAAGAGGTCGACCGAAGAAGACATGGATGGAATGTGTGAATCACGCGCTGCGCCCCCCATTACCACGGCCCAGTGCCGCCGCCATGTGCTTGATAATAGATTAGTCAGAGAAAAATTATTAGAAACTAACTTCAATCATCTCTTAAATATTGATTGCCCATTTTACTGGTGGTAGGACCTCTTGTGAGTCCGCACGGGTAGGTAGGCGCCAGGTCATAAAGCTCGGTCTACGCAGTCTTGGTTGGAAACGAACGTTTCGGACTTCATCAGAGCTGAAGACTGGCCGTCGTCTAGTCCCGATCTTAATCCGCTGGATTATGATTTATGGTCAGTTTTAGAGAGTACGGCTTGCTCTAAGCGCCATGATAATTTGGAGTCCCTAAAACAATCCGTACGATTGGCAGTGAAATTTTTTCCCAAGGAAAGAGTGCGTGCTTCTATTGATAACTGGCCTCAACGTTTAAAGGACTGTATTGCAGCCAATGGACTGACCACTTCGATCACTTCGAATAAGCTTTTTATACTTTAAATTGTTTTAAGGAGATGTATGGAAATGGTAGTGCAAGGTAGAGGGGGAAGAGGTCGACCGAAGAAGACATGGATGGAATGTGTGAATGACGATATGAGAGAGAGAGGAGTGAGTGTTGAGATGACGGCTGACAGAAGAGAATGGAAGAGAAAAATTAGCTGTGCCGACCCCACCTAGTGGGATAAGGTGGAGAAAAAGAAGAAGACTTTAAATTGTTTTATAAAAGTGAAACCCGCAAAATTATAATTTGCGTAATTACTGGTGGTAGGACCTCTTGTGAGTCTGCGCGGGTAGGTACCACCGCCCTGCCTATTTCTGCCGTGAAGCAGTAATGCGTTTCGGTTTGAAGGGTGAGGCAGCCGTTGTAACTATACTGAGACCTTAGAACTTATATTTCAAGGTGGGTGGCGCCTTTACGTTGTAGATGTCCATGGGCTCCAGTGAGCACTTAACACCAAGTGGGCTGTGACGGGCACGGTAGAAATAGGCAGGGCATTGGTACCTACCCTGGCGGACTCACAAGAGGGCCTACCACCAGTAAAATTAACTTTTAATGCGAAAAGGCGATATGCGTAATTTTGACAAATATTGTTGACTCTGGTTGATCTGATTTACATCAGATCTCAAGTCCCACATACCCCGCGCGCCCTTAAAGCGCAGGGACCTCGTAAGAGGTTCAGCCCCCGGCCCGAAAAAAAAAGGTATATGATTTACATGATAATCTTGAAGGCCACAGCTGTTCAAGGTGGGTGGCGCATTTACATTGTAGATGTCTATGGGCTCCAGTAACCACTTAACACTAGGTGGGCTGTGAGCTCGTCCACCCATCTAAGCAATAAATAAATAAAAAAGAATACTAGTCTAGGTTAGTACCCGGTTGTGAAAGTTCTTCTTTAAGTGTCTACATTAAATAAAGAGGAGCTCTTATCGGTCGGGACGCGATAAGTAATTGTATATTGTTAATTACTATGCTAAAGGGAATACCCGATTAGAATATAATTTTCATAATCATAAATGGAGTAAGTCGTTCAACTGGTCGTGGCTTGAAGGATAAGAGTCCCGGTGTACTTTTTGGGAAGAAAAATGTAATAAATAGTCTAATAGTTATGTGTGTGTTAGGTTTTGGACATAGATTATAAGTAATACTTACTAATAAAATGTAATGGTTTATTTACAATTTATTTATTTATAAATTTTATTTATTTATTTATAAATAAATAAATATGGCGATGCGTATGCGTTTTTATATTTAAGTATTTAAGTATCAGCTCGCAATTAAGTTCCGCCATGAATGAAAAATTGTGTAATAAAAATGAAAACATTTTAAAATTTTCTAAATTTGGAATAATACGGACGAAGTTTGAAGAGTGATCCAGTTTGCTGCTTAGTGCGAGTTTTTTTTTTTTCAAATAATTTAATTTGAAGTCGTCGTGGCCTAAAGGATAAGAAACTAAGTCCGGTGTATTGGTATCTAGCGATGTACGGGTGTTCGAATCTTGCAGGCGGGTACCAATTTTTCCAATGAAATACTTCCTTATCAAATGTTTACGATTGACTTCCACGGCGAGTGAATACATCGTGTATTAAAAATCATACCCGCAAAATTATAATTTGCGTAATTACTGGTGGTAGGACGTCTTGTGAGTCCGCACGGGTAGGTACCACCGCCCTGCCTATTTCTAGCGTGAAGCAGTAATGCGGCATTTACTTTCTAGATGTCTATGGGCTCCGGTAACTACTCCACACCAGGTGAGCTCGACCACACATCTAAGAAAAAAAAAGTTCAAAGAGGCAAGATTGCAACAGCACACGACATGTAGATGCAAAGCAAAAGCCTTTGATTGTTTGTAATGTACTCTTAATTGTTCGCAATTGTCACCAATCAATACAACGTTTTTCAATGTTTTTTTTCTGCCAATCACACCCAAATAGTCGTATGTCTCGTTCGATTATAAAAATAAAATAGCTTTACACAACACACGATAAGGGTGTGTATAATTACGATAGGCATTTATGACTTGTGGCATCTTCAATACAAGGTTTTCGAGACGTGACTCAGATGAAGTGCCAGTATTTATTTTTATGTATGTACAAATGTACATACATAAAAATAAATTTATTTTGTTAATT